TGTTAACAGATCATTGATACAATAACATTTTGACCCAATTTGCCTGACTTGACACATGGAATAAAACATGGGCGTAGGAAGCGTCCTCAATGTGGATGAGACAATTTAACAGTGNTCACCTTCTCTAGGGGGGTCCGGGGGCAAGGTCCCCCGGGAAGATTTTTTTTTAAATGTTGAAGTTAAATGCATCAATCTGGTGCACTTTGAGAGCAAAATTAGGGACTAAATCTATGGCAGTCAGTAGGGGCTTGGACTGTGAGCCGTAGGGTCGCCGGTTCAAGTCGCCGACCAGACCTATTTGGAGTGTGGACTTCTACTTCTAGGTCCCAGTTCACCTCCTGCCCTGCCGTGGTGCCCTTGAGCAAGGCACCGGACATCCCCCTTCCCCCTTCACTCCCATTGCTCCCCGGGCGCTCCACAATAGCTGCCCACTGCTCCTAGTACTAGACTCCTGGTACAAATACCCCTCCTCGACTCCTCTCTTCCCCTCCTCCGGGACTTGACCCGGAAATCGATCGATTGGGATGAGGCTCAGGTCTCGGGACGCATTACCTCTAGAAACTCCAGCACACTGAGGTTAAATAAATCCCACCCTTTCCACTCTGTCTTTTTCTAATCATACTATCTGTCTTGGTTGTTAAATGCCATCTTAACAACAAAATGAATGTCTCCTAATCATATTAAAGAACTCCTTAACATTTTTTATTTCAACCATTTGTAACATATTTAACTTTTTCAGCAAACCATTTTCTCCTATAAAATGAAATACTCACATATTTCAAGCTCCATATATTGCACACAAGAAGAAAATCCCCACATATTCTCCAATATTTTAAATCCTACTGTTACTGAGAACAACAGTTAAAACCAGCAGAGAGCATACTAACAGATCACAACAATGTAAATTGACTCAAGAGTAGGCCTATGTTTTCTATTATAATTATAATATATAATATATCATTTTAGTGAACACTTATTCGTATTATCTAAATGCCCTGTCCATAACCGACATGCAAATTGTTTGATGTAATAAAAAATGCGGCCCGTGTTTCTTTTTGTATCTATCGTTTACACTCTAAAGATTCTTAAAATTATTATGAATTAATTATCTAATGCCCTTTTGTACTTCTGATCAAAATTATTTCTATGTGTATTGCTTTAAATATACCAAAGTATGTGTTACAATGTAATTAGTTCTAAGATTTGAACAGTGGTTTCTAGTTCTGACTAAAATAATATACAATATGTCCAGCATATGAAGCCAACCATAAATATAAGTTAATCTCTCTTTATTTTGTGCCACACCCTGTTGGCCACCAGATGGCGCACCTGACCAGGAATGAGCTTCACTTCAGCCACAAATACCTGACGTAACTTTTACTTTTTTTATTTTATTCTTCACATAAGCTTTTTCCAAACTTCTCATCTATTTTTCTGTCCTTTACAACAAATCAACGTAACAAGTCGATTAGCAGTTTAATACATGCAACCTGTAGAACCTTGATATCCAAAGCGACTTACTACTCATACCTGTTGACAAGCCCACAGGACAATTTGGTGAAGTGTCCCTGCCACCATTTTACGATATTATATTGCAGAGTCACACGACTCAGTGGAGTAGAACGAACTGATCACAATTAAACGCTTCGTCACCTCAGCTCACACGTACTCCCTGTAAAAAGTATTTTTAGACCTATGCCGATTCTGTGATGCCTACCAGGTACGGGTAAAAGAGAGATCTCAGCAGTGACT